TTCCCATAAATGTTTTGTGCTTCAGGACTGCTTTTTATGACATTTTGCTGATATCTGGCTCCATTTACTCGGCCGTGTTAAGGGACAGAGCAGCTTTCTCAGGATGTTTGTGCACTGGTCTGTGTAGTGGTGGGAGCAAGGGATATGACATAGGGTATAGGAGAGGGGCTCTTTTTACCCATTTCAAGGATTCGGTGTCATTAAATGTGTTGGGCTTCTCCCTGCGTGAGTCACTGCTCACGTCAGAACTTGAAGCTGGCAAAAATAACGTGCTGGACCCAAAAGACACCTCTGCTGGTCGCTGTGACTGCAGTCCGTCAGCTTTTCTGGTAGGTGCTGACCAACGGTACAAACCTTTCTTTGAAGGGTTTTGGTCTCAGCCACACAAGTGTGATTTGAGGTGAAGTCTGGTGTACTGATTTTGAATCCGGGAATCCATTTTTCAGCTAGATCTGATCTGAATTATTTTAGCTTTTTTATGGGGGGGGAGAACAGGGAGGGTGGCAGCGTGGCAGGAAATTAGATTTGTTTAGTGTTTTTTGCTTCTTTAATGTTTAGTACCTTAATATTTTGAAGTGAAATTGTCTTTCGTCTGTTCTGTCACACAGTAACTTGGACCTGATTTTTAGTGACTCCTTACAGGGACGGGATGTGCACCAGGAGCTCTTGAGCCTGAACACCTCTTTTGCGAGGTTCTGCGCTCTCAGTGATGAGCACAGGCAGGCTGTGAGGAAGCTTGCCTTGCCTGTGCTGTACCTGGAGCAGGTGGAGGTGTTTTGCTAGGGATAATCTATCAAAATAGGTATAATTTTTTGCTTTTCAATCTCCAGGCCAATGCAGTGCTGATCCGGGAAGTGGATGTAGAAAAGGTCATGACATTTGAGCAGCCATACGTAAGTGCGATTAAAACATTGTGGAACGACCCTGGAATACAGGAGTGTTATGACAGGAGAAGAGAATATCAGCTTTCCGACTCGGCTAAATAGTAAGTGTGTATTTGCTGGCATACACTGGTAGATGGCATTGATGGTCTAACAAATAGCACCTGTCCAATCTTTCTATTGAAGTCTAGGGTTTGTTTCAAAGGGCACGAACGCTGCTGTAGATTTCATGATGTGGTTTGTTTAAAGTACCTTTTATCTTTTTCATCGAGGTGGGGGAATCTTGCTAGTGTTTTAGACAAAGCTGCGCAGTCTCCGCTGGCTGCGTGTGTTGGGATACAGATCATAGGTGTATGAGAGAGACACTTTGCCTGGTCAGCCAGACATATCCTGAGGAAAAGTTAAGATGAAAGAGCAGTGGGAGTGGGTAACTGGTTACTTTTTTGAATCTGGCTCCAGAAAGGCAAAGAGCTTTGCTGGAGCTGGAGGAAGCTGTGTTGATTTGGGAACAGATTTACATCTGGAAATTCCTTACTGTTTGCAACTTCCCGTGATGGTATGAGGTGTTCTGGTGGGTGACAGAAACAGTTCACACATCTGCTTCTGGATATACCTAGGCTGGAATCTCTGCCATCTGTGTTGGTCCTGGCTCTTAGGCAGCAGAAGTGTTGCTCTTTCTCTTCAGGTTTGTCCCTTGGCCTACAGGTGTACGTGGGTGTGTAACTTGATGGTTTTATTATTAACAAAATCTAAGTCTGGCGACATAGGTTTGTTTATAAATAGAAAAGCTCAGGTGAGACTTGATTCTGAAACAGAAGCATCCTCTGTACTTAGTCTTTCTGTGTAGTAAAAACTGTCTTCCTATACAGAGTTGATAAAGTTGTCCTTAATATTGTGTTTATCCTCCAAAGGGGTGGCTGGTGAATCACTGTTCTCCAAAGATGTGTTCTGTTATTTTCCCACATGGCATTTTAAATGGTTCAGGTCGCTTCTGACTTTCTTGTTACAATAGGGAAAG